TTTATTTTCTAACAGTTTATAAATATTCATCTTTACATTTTTTTTCATAAACATATTCGTCTACTTAACATAGATAAACCTAATTTTGTAATTTTCATTTTGACCTAAAAGAAATGGACTATATAAGAATACTGCTCAAGTTTTTCATTTACTTTACACATAGTTAATACTTTTAATTATAAATTGGCAAATTCATCAATAAAATATGTTAACATTGATTAAAATGCAATCATTCTACTTTTTAAACAAAATTGCTGCAAATAAACAGACTCTAAAAAGTTACTTTGAAAAGGTAACAGCAGACTTTGAATTCTTTTAAAAAATGTTACATTGGTTTTAAGCAGAAAAAAAATAAGAAGAAGGCGACTACGACGAAGAAGAACAAGAACATTGCATGGCTTCAGGCATGATATACTAAAACGTAAAGGGGCGCCCATAAAACTGATTTAATCCAATCATATTTTGTGTCTGTACCATGTATTTAAAGGCTATCTGGACCATGTGCTTTTCATTCTTGCTTGTCTTTATTTTTATGTCTATTTTCTCGAAGGAGTTGGTTGTTGGTGGTTGGTCTGTTCCATTGTACCGTTTTAATATTTTTGGGGGTAATTCCTGTTAACCTTTACAGTACTATCTAAAACAGCCAGTTATATTTTCTGTTGCATATTCAGTATACGAGAAAACGTTTCCTTTTATTTACAAAGTACAATTTGCTGTTGAATATTCAGTCTCTGTTAAAATATTTCTTATTATTTGTAGAAATAAGAAGATGTCGGTATGAGTGCCAATGAAACAACTCTTACATGAATCTGCACATTGAGGAAGACGTTAAAGTTAAAAAAAAAATACCGCTTACAAAACACTCGCCGTACCCGATAAATTGTTATACTTGAAATGTCATGAAGTTTGTTACCATGATATATCAATGATTAGGTCAACCTTGAACTTTAACGTCAAGAACAGCGTTATACTAATTATTAGAAATTGATTTATAAGGTTTTCAATTAATATATCAATAAAAAAAGGAATAGGAATGTGGTCGAGTATCCAACATTATGAATTTCTTTTCCAATGGTAAAATTATATAATGATTAATGGTTCGTTTAAAGTGGCAGTCAAGATAAAATGATTCAAGCATAATCGACAAGTTCTGACCATTTTATCTTCTGTGAGTTAAGCATTGTAGATAGCCCAGTCGAGATAGAATGATTTAAGCATACAAGCTCTGACCATTTTAACTTCTGTGAGTTAAACATCGTATAGATAGCCCAGTCGAGATAGAATTATTCAAGCATACAAGTTCTGACCATTTTAACTTCTGTGAGTTAAACATCGTAGATAGCCTGCAACACGTTCCCCTTTCCACCATTTACCCATATTATCTCAAAACACGTGAATTCTAAATAAATTGACCAGCGTCGATATTTTCGGTATTATAATCAGTTATCCAGCAAAGATGGAATCAAATTGAAACGACCAACTACTGAAAGGCAGAATTAGAATTGTGTGCTAGAAACTGGAACGAGATAAAAGTCATTTAAATTGTTTGATGTATATCGATAAACTATTATTCTTGTTAATTTCTGAGCCATAAAAAATGGTCAAAAGTGACTTGCCAATCATTGTGCAATGACCTATCAAAAATGCTTGCTACATAACTGAAACTGGTACCGTGAATTTGGAGATTAAATCTAACGCCTGTTTCATTATAACTCTCTTTATTGAGGTTGACTTAACACGATGACTGACTTATAAAAACATTAACAGCATTAATTCTACATTTTCAATATCAAAATTTTCAACTAATATTGATCTTTTCTAAGAATTCATTTTTTTTTTGCTCTGTTGCTGATAAACTACACATAAATCTGAATTAATGAAAACTGCATATAAAAATCAATGTTTCGCTCTATCAGGAAACACTGTTGAGCAGTGAATTCTCTTCAGACTAACATTCAACCACAGGTGTGCTTTAGTGAATTTAATGCTTCAATAAATTTGATATTAATATTTCAATCGACAAAAAAATGGAAAGTTTGTTATAAATTCTAACGTTATTCTACCGATGGACACGTATTCCATGACCTTTTTGGCGCTATATTAAGTTTATTGAATTTCGGTGTTTTATTACTTGAAGGTTTCCAATACTTCACTTTCAAGCACCACTGAGAAGTAGATTAATATTTAGATGCACATGTGGTGAATCACATAATCTTATATTCTGAATTAATTTAAGCATAATCTGGGAATAGTATACTGTCAATATATTTTGTCCCAGATATAATGCAAAAATAATTTTTTTTCCCGTTTTTTTTTTATGAATTTGAATAAAAGTGAGACGTGGTTTTAAAATAAATGATGAAAAACCGAAATAAAACACCCACACCTTTTCAAAAACATACGTCTGGATGTTGCCATACGATCTTCAACAATGACGGACAAACCATACGACAAAGAGAGACGAAAGATACCAAGGTATACTAGACTAAGCGAAGGGTACAACCGACGACCAATATATGTGCAAGAAAAAGAACCGATTAGTATATAACCTGCAACAGTAACAAAAAACAAAATTCCGCTTAAAACGAACTAATATATAGTGGATAAATGTTACCGTCTAAGATCAATGCTTAGTTATTAATCAGAATGATTAATATGATATGATAGAAAAGCATGTTTAATATACGACAATTTTATTGATCTTGAAATGTATTTTATAATTCATAGCTGAAATCATCCACCCACATTTACCGTGTGTTTTATCGCTGAATACTAATTAATGCTTCAGCTGCCAAATTGGTAAGCATTGTGTTATATTAACAAAAAATTGCAATTTTACCATAGTAAAATTATGAATTGCCAAAGACAAAATATTAATATATCACATGTATTGATGTATGTAAATATGTTTTCTGGTGTGACACCATTAACCATTAGTATTTACTTCGTCCATACTTACAAGTCTGACATTGTCCTATTGAGCCACAATCAATGAACCAGATTAACTTTGTTACATTATGTGCAATAGATATAGTTTCCCTTTTAGCACTATCCATTTTAGACGCGTGTGAGGAAACCTGATTTTTTTAAAATACCGATTCATATTTTGATGAAAAAAGTCTAGGCGGACAGTATCAAAGTATGAGGGGACTAGGTTGTACATTATATCATGGATGTGCCCAAACGTATTGTTTATTTGATTTAAGTAATTTTCCTGTGTCCATTTCATTGGAGATAACTGTGACAACTCCGGTTCTAAATTCTAATTTCGATTTTGTAGAGTCATATTTTTGCAAGGAGGAAAATGTAGAAATGAAAAATAGACACCGTGTCAAAATGTGAGAATATAGAAAAACTGACAATTTTGTTTCATGCTACAATTTTACCATTAACCAGAAGAATGTAGTTTAATCGATATATTATTTACTCAAAAAAAGTGTTATCCAAATTTATTAAAACGTTTAAATTTTTGTTAAACCCAACAAAAACAAAGAATGGTAGCAATCTAGTCGGTATTTCTAATTAAATACGGTATATCTAATTAAATAGAAAGGAGTAACACTTAATAACCTCAACGATCGAGACAGCAAAGTAAGTTTATCTGAAGTCGACATGTAAAGAGGCCACATTACAACCTTCTAGCCGGATCATAATACGGTGTTCCAGTAGGGCGGTGTCTCACAATACGGTCTTCAACAAAGGGCACGTATACAGCATGTGGCAAGGAATTCGTTAATAAGCTCATGGTTAAAATTATTAATTGACATTTGCATTGAAAATATATAATTTAAAATTATTAATTGACATTTGTATTGAATATATATAATCTATTGGCACTTATTAGTTGCTTCATATATTGGGAAAAAAGGCTTTCTGGACAAGTAAATTTGCCATAATTTCTTTCTGTACAATGAAAATCCGCTATACAAGCAAATCTTTACAACTGATTTGAATTAAGCATCTGATAGTTAAAAAAAAGTTTAAGCTAAATGCACACAGACAGTATATATCCGGTAACCATTTTCCCGGCTACTGTAAGACAATATGGAGATAAAGGTTGATTTCCTATTATTATATGGATGTGTTTCTTATATAACTTAGTTATAAAATGGTGCACAAATGTGGCAGTAAACAAAATTCCCATGGAGCAACAACTTAAACATACAGACTTGAAATTTTCAGATTTAATTTGTAGCTGAACGTTTATATTTTACCGTTTTCAAATCATTCCAATTTTCCCATTCGTTCTCCTACCAAATCGCTTTGTAAAAACACAATCGAGTAGAAATGTTACCAAATTTATTATTGAATTTTAATGAGAACTTCTGTTGGCATTCAAATGTGACTCAAAAGTTAGTCCTATAACGTTAAAAGTAGGTCTAGTATTCAGTGTCCAATGACGAACTCAGCACTGAGATTGCGCAGCAATCTTATATCATCCTCTAAACTAAAGTGATTCAATGATTTAGTAAAAATCAACTTTCATTTCTAAAGGATAAATTGTAGGTGCTTTATTTATGGCATAACAATGTAATTGTCTGTGTGTTTGATAGTCAATATACTGTTAATTCAAAGCTTATATTCTTCTGCTATGATTTTAAACGGTGTAAAATGTTCCTCTTCGACAGGTTTAGAATACCTATACCTTACACATGAACTATTGTGATCTATACCAGTACAGAATTTCATGTATAAATTTACGTTCATAATAAAACGGTAAATGAGTTATAAATGACTTACTTTGGACTCCTGTGGCATTCCCCTGCAACTGTAATGACCACAGTGCCACCAAACGGCACGTTAGAAAATGATTCCACTTAATCCCAGTTAAATCCTTTGTTTTGTACGGTAAAACTGAATTTTCTAGACAAAGACGAAGTGAAATACTAAGTATTGATCGCTAGGCGACGTTGATGCTACCGAGAAATCAACACGATCGGTGTAATCAACATCTGTTGTCTTTGTGGGTTCTAATGGAATAAATATATAGTCAAACCTACCTTATTCGGCAAAGACTGTCCACCTGTTTGATGTTGTCTGTGATAGACTTTGGTTAATGGTATAATGCGTCTGCGATACGATCCGTTCCTGAAATGAAATGGACATTCGTAATGACCCAATCATAGCATGTTGAAGCGCTCGAGCAATTGATTACCCGATATAAATGACTAGATCCCGGATCGATTTTAGATTTGATTTTAAACGCGAGTAAATACTGCGTTTATTTTATGAAGGCTGTAAACGATTGAGTAATACAATATATAGATATAAAATGACATCATTTATTACTTATTTTTTATATAATTTTTGTAGTGTTTTTGCGTTATGTGTAGGAATTACGTTGTGTCCCCCGTGAATGTTCAACCTGAATTTTTATAACATGCTTGTCCCTTGAGATTTTTATTTCGGTGATTTATGCTAAAAATATCTAATGAGTGCCATGATGCATTCATCGAAAATATCATTTTGATGTAGGATTAGAGATTATCGCTACATATAGATATTCAAGGATTATTATTCCGTGATGACAGTGTCAAATAGTTTCTGTTTTAAGTAATAAATAGAGTTAAAATTGTGACCATATATGTCAATACGAGTGAACAAAATATCAGGCTATATATAGTCAAAGCAAAAGCAAAATAGAGAAAGTGCTCACAAACATGTTTAACTCCGCCACATTCGTTATCATGTGTGTTTGCCCGTCCCAAGACAGGCATAAGTCTATAATTCAGTAGTCGTTTTCGGTTGTTGTCTGTCAATATAAAAATAAGAAGATGTGGTATGATTGCCAATGAGACAACTCTCCACAAGAGACCAAATGACACAAAAATTAACATAGGTCACCGTATGGCCTTCATCAACGAGTAAAACCCATACCGCATATTCAGCTATAAAAGGCCCCGAAATGACAAATGTAAAACAATTCAAACGAGAAACAAACGGCCTGATAAATGTACAAAATAATGAACGAATCAAAAACAATTATGATATACAGCAACAAACGACAACCACTGAATTACAGGCTCCTGACTTGGGACAAAACCTACACAATGTGGCGGGGTTAAACTAGCTTGAAGGCGCCAACCCTCCCCCTAACCTGAGACAGTGGTGTCATAGTACAACATAAGAACAAACTATAAAAATCAGTTGAAAAGGGCTCAACTCAACAGATAGATACAAAGCAGACATATATCTAACCAAAACACAGAGTGGGCGTGGCAGGGTACTTATACATCCCCACAACAAAAAGACACTGAGTACAGATCTGAGAGTACTCGCTGTTACTGACAGCTAGTTCAAAGCCAATAACAACCAATAAAAAAATCATGCATCTAAGCCTTAAATATCAATAAGTACACATTAAACATCCAATGGATTTAGTGTAAAGACCTCATTGACAGTCTGAGAAAAACATGACCTTGTGCAATGCAAAGATACAGGTATAGACAGATTGTAGAGCCATGAATGTGCATATGTATATAAAAATAATATTTAGTTTTGATTTTAATTTATTGATAACAAAATCAATATTAATACCAATAAAAACAATATTCAAAGATCTAATTATAGTGTTGAAATGGTAACTTTTTAGAATAAGTTTATTTAAAGGATCGATAAGTTTACCCGGATCGTATCTAAATTTCCGGGCTCGGTAAACAACATCTCCTTAAGAATGTTTGTTTCTCGATTATTATTGTTAGCAAAAATTATGGCGTTGATTGTTTTCTTTTTAATTGATTCAATTTTTTTAATCCGGTGGCCTTTTATAGCTTACTATACGGTATGGTATTTTCTCACTGTTGAAGGCCGTATAGTGACTTATAGTTGTTCACATCCTCGTCATTTGGTCACTGCATGGTGGATAGTTGTCTCAATGGTGATCATACCATATCTCCTTATTTTTATTATTGAAAGAATCTTTAGTAATTACTGATGCTCAAAATTAACAATTATAGGCTACTGAAATATGGGTTTCTCCTTACATTTAAGACTTTGAACCTGTTCGGTCCTTAGAATAATTTCGTAGTCGATCACGGTCCCACAAAATAATAATCTTGTTGAAATGAATATATGCTTATAACTTCATTTCATTACGATATGATTTATAAATCAAAAAGCTGAGTTTTGATATATAACTACGCATGACAGTTAAACACTAAATTTACTATTCCATACGAAACCGATAATACCATATATTTTCATGTATCGAACAATACGTTTTACTTCACGTCGTTTATGTTTATGGTGTGCTGCAAAGTGTACTTCAATGCAAATCATAAACTGTGACTTTTGAAAGAAGGAACTATACTAATGTATCATTCAATTGCATAAGGTCAAGAAAGTACAGTGTTGAGATGCAGTACACATATCAAACTGATAAATCAAGTAAGGGCAAATCCATCAATCTGAGTTAGGAAAAAGATGACTCAAAACTGAAATTTTGATCGGCTTTGGCTTTCAAGTATAAATAATTAACAAATGAAACATGCCATTACCAAGCGTCTTGAAAATGAAAACAGTGTTCCACACGAAATATTTTGGGTAACCCATCACTTTTTTAATTTGGTAAAAATTCAGAGAAGCACTGAACCTTTGAACTATCTGTCAGTAACTGCGAGAACTCTCAGATCTGTACTTAGTATCTTTTTGTTGCTAGGGAGGAGGGATAGATAAATAACCTGCCACGTCCGGTCTGTGTTTTTTTTTTTATAATGTTTTTCAGCTTTGATTCGATCTGATGAGTTGAGCCTTTTTCAACTGATTTTATAGTTTGTTCTTATGTTGTGCTGTTACACCACTGTCCCAGGTCAGGGAAGGGTTAAGTGCTCACAAACATCTTTAACCCCGCCACATTCGTTATATGCATGTCCCAAGACAGGAGCCTGTAGTTCAGTGGTTGTCATTGGTTGGTCTGTCATATTTGTTTTTCGTAAATTGTTTTGTTATAAATTAGGCCGTTAGTTTTCTCAATCGAATTGTTTCATATTTTTCGTGTCGGGGCTTTTTATAGCCGACTATACTGTATGGGTTTTGCTCATTGTTGAAGGCCGGCCGTACGGTTGCTTAAAAAGTAAAGGCAACAGTAGTGTACCGCTGTTCAATAGTCATAAATCGATTTAAATGAAACAAATCTGAGTCACAAACCAAAACCGAGGGAAACACATCAACTATAAGAGGAAAACAACGGAACAACAGAAACACTTAACTGCTACAAAAACAAACGCCAACATACATAGAAACGGACTATTTGATAACAACTGCCATATTCTTGACTTGGTACAGGACATTTTAAGAAAAAAACTGTGGGTTGAACCTGGTTTTATGGCAATGTTAAAGATACCGCTAAAATGACAACATTACGTGACGGGAATATAGTACAAATAAACGCAAGAACACTCAGGACAGAGAAATACATGAATAGATAATATAATATAATAATAGTAAATTACAACATGTAAACCACGGAATAACAACGGACACCTCCCATGTACACCACAATAGAATTATGAACTATACGTCACACGAATGTATCAACGCCACAAAAAGTGACGTCACATGTATCTTTTTAAAGATAGAATATAAAATTGGGATTAAGTTTGTAATGGTGTTATTTTATGTATTTTCTAACCATTACAAGAATATTAATATAGAATTGTGTTAGTAATGGTGTAATTATTTGTATTTTCTAACCATGTCGGTTTCTGTGCATTAGTTGTTTTAAACTAAAAATCATATAAATGAACTAGCTGATTAATTATCTTAACTTTTACATACATATAGAAAACAAAAATAGAATGCAAACCACAAACGATAAGACATAACACAATATCTAACTAGACTTACACACGAAACATCATAAGTAAATACATGAATGTTGGATGTATAAGTACCGAGACCACTGACCGAGACACGTCTAATACCAATGCGAATACACACTCGGCAAAACAGTCATGTTCGGGAATAGGTCACGTTCGGTACTTAGCAGACCAGACGACGTAGATGGTAAACCCCAATCTAAGACGTGGTAAAAATGTCGTTAGTTAGTTTAGACACAGACACATCGTATCGATCAACCAATTTGCGATGATATCCATAAAATTTATGGAGTGTCATTTTTAATCTTTCCTCTCATAACTCTGTTGGAGCAATTTCTGCGTAAGGAGCACGCTCCTGTATATAAGTCCTTATAGTGTGAACATGTACGAGCATAACGTATCAGCTGAGATATGTAAACACCATACGATGGGACAGAGTGTATGTTACTGCTGATAAATGGGAAATAGATATTGGGAAGTTGAAATCGTCCCGTTTGTCATAGATATTAGTGTGAAGTCGTCCATCTGTGTCAATATTGAGGAAAAGATCAAGGTATGAAGCAGTCCTTCTAGTATCAGTAGTATCCCTAATTTCAAGTTCACTGGGATATATGAGAAGTAAGTACCGACTGAAATATGGGTTATTCAGTGATAGGACATCATCAATATATCTGAAAGTAAAATTAAATAATTTCGCAAGGTGCTTTTTCTTTTTGTCTTTAAGAAGGTTCTGAATGAATTCTGCTTCATACGAGTACAAAAATAAATCGGCCAGTAGGGGTGCACAATTAGTACCCATTGGAATACCGACTGTCTGTTGAAATATCAATCCTCCAAACTCAACAAATATATTGTCGATCAAAAAGTCCAGCATTTTGATATTATCATCTTCAGTATATTTTCTGATAGAATCAGTGTGGTTCTTCACGAAATAAGAATTATTATAACCCAAAACAAGTAATTTATATCTACGATTCCCATTTTTATAGAAAAAGCTCTGTTTGATGAGATGGTGAAGTCGATCTTTTAATTGAGCATGGGGAATCATGAGTAGTGTAAAGCGTAGAAAAATCAAAAGTTTTAATGTTGCTGCAAAATTGCAGAGATTGTGATCTAAGATTTAGCAGTAGATCTTTAGAATTTTTAAGAATCCACATCTGATTGACACCACTGGTTGAATATATTACTTCACAATATTTTTGAAGGCCATCTTTTACTGTAGAAAGAATAGTAGTCAGCACTTTAGAAAGATGTTTAGTTAAACATCTAGATTATCCAGCTATGTATCGTTCTATATAATAAAATTGAGAATGGAAATGGGGAATGTGTCAAAGAGACAACAACCCGACCACAGAACAGACAACAGCAGAAGGCCACCAACAGGTCTTCAATGCAGCGAGAAATTCCCGCACCCGGAGGCGTCCTTCAGCTGGCCCCTAAACAAATATATATACTAGTTCAGTGATAATGAACGCCATACTAAACTCCAAATTGTACACAAGAAACTAAAATTAAAAATAATACAAGACTAACAAAGGCTAGAGGCTCCTGACTTGGGACAGGCGCAAAAATGCGGCGGGGTTAAACATGTTTATGAGATCTCAACCCTCCCCCTTTACCTCTAGCCAATGTAGAAAAGTAAACGCATAACAATACGCACATTAAAATTCAGTTCAAGAGAAGTCCGAGTCTGATGTCAGAAGATGTAACCAAAGAAAATAAACAAAATGACAATAATACATAAATAACAACAGACTACTAGCAGTTAACTGACATGCCAGCTCCAGACTTCAATTAAACTGATTGAAAGATTATGTCTTCATCATATGAATATCAGGCACAAGGGTGAAATATAATATAAATACAAAAAAAGTATTTTTGTGAAGTTTTGGTATCCAGTATAATGACGGTAGGTTTTCTTCGTTTTCTTTGATGTTGATATAATTGCTTACATCCCCTTTATTTGAACTTTGGTGGATATTTGTCAATTATCATTGGCAATCATACCAAATCTCCTTATTTTTATATTGTTTTGACGTCATGATAATTCGACTGCGCAAATAGCACTGTTGCAGTATAAACAATCATTCATAAAATTTCCCGTAAAAAGACTATTAGTTTTTTTTAGACAATTTCGCAAAAATTACGTCAGATGGTTATTCAGCGGAGACAATGGGTCATTCGGAGACCATGAAATTAAGATAAATACCAAATGTGTAAATACTCTTACTGTGTCTTGCATATCGGCTTTATGCCTTCAAACCGTTTTGGTAAATGATGATTTAGCTGCATATAAATCTGTCAATCACTGACTGTGATCACACATTGACCGGAATCCAGAGTCACGCTGGCGGATCCTGAAAGTGTGATCTGCGCTTTGGTAGCACTCCACAGTTAAAAAATAAAATTAAAAATGAACCACAAAATATTTTATCATCTCCTCAGTATTCCTGGATTTCTAATACATTAACCTAACTGTTTGTGTTGTACATGTGCATATGTATGTAATCAGTATCTTCCATAGATTTGATTTTCAAAAGTTAAAAGGGTGAAATATAATTCCTTCTATGTGTATCCATGGCAACATTCTGCATTTATTTACCATAAAATATTGCAAAAAGGGGGGTGAAAATGTCACATATCCCCCCAAAATTTGGATCAAACTAGAATTTCAATGCCAATGAGTGATACCTTTTTAGAAATTGTTGACATTAATCTTCCTAATAATCAAATAAAAAATGGGTGTCTTTCGCCTCATTTTTTCGTAAAATTTAATTACAAAGTTCGTGCGACAAAAAGTTGGAAAAAAACATTACAATAATTGGCGGACCAATGTATGGTATGGATATGCAAATACGGACTGTCATACAGAAAACAGCCTATATTACATCAGAGACATATAATACAATTATATGTCTCTGATTACATACATTACATAATCTTGATGTTCATATAAACCCAATAGGAAGGCTATTTTAATCCTCAGCTATCCAAAAATGAATTTTATTGCACACTAGCTCTCATATTTGAAAAATCCACAGGGGCCAAAATGCGAAACTACACACCTAACTGTGGAGTGCTACCTTTCATGTCGATCTGGCCCCAAGTCGATCCGTCCCAAGTTGATCCGGTCCCATATTTAAAGTCGATCCGGCCCAAATTTGAAAAAATATTTATAAGGAATAAAATTATATATATATATACATATATGAATTGTAATACATAAATGCCGGTTTGTGAATTTTATAATAATCTGCTGATTTGAACCTCCACCCTTCCAAGTTGCCACTATTTTTGTTGAATTTTCTAGATCCATAACTTCTTTGAAAGTATTGTAGAATTATACTTTTTGTACCAATTTCAGGGACAAGGATGAGAGTCAATTTAGTTCGTTGTTATGTTTTGCTTTTTTTTTGTCTATTGGTCTTTACTTAGATATTATTTTTTGGCGGGAAATGTTTCTATGGGGCGTGTAGTAACCTAATGTTTTTCGTCTAAATATAATGATGGAAAGCTATGCAATAGAAAAAGATAACATTTATTTCTTCTCCCCTTAATCTTAGTGTTCTGAAATAAATATCTAAAGTCAAGGTGTGTTTATAAAATATGAACTACATTGTGATGCGTGTGTATATTATTGTCATATGGAAGTACTTACGCCACTTCCGCTGTCAACGTAAACATGGCTGGTGTACCTGATTATTATGAAAGGAAAGGGTCGCTAAATTTGCGGTCAGATCACATGAATTATGGAAGAGCCACTTTAAATTCGAACTGGTAATCATGCATTTACATATCAAAACTGTTTGTCTTGAGCACGCGATGTCGTGAATTTTCTAATAAAGAGTTAAACGTCTTTGATCGTCTGTAGGGTATACTCTCATTTGAGTTGCTATAGGCTATAGCGGTTTAAAGTTGACAGTATAGTTTTGAAAAAAAAGACTGATTATTTAACCATTCTAACAGTACGAGGGAGAAATAAATGATATGGCAAACTCCATACAATGATGGATTTTCAGCACGGAGAACATCGAAGTAAATTTAAGCATCTATACATTGTACATGTCTTTAATAAACGTATTTACACTTTTGGTATTTAGCTATATTTTGCCTCCGAATGACCTTAGATCTACTTCGAATCACCTTTTGACGTCAGTCAACAATCACTTTTTAATTGTGACGTCAAATGTTTTGAATTATGATGTCAAAGTTTACAGGAACCTGTGTGATTTAACGTAATGGCGGACAAATTTGCATACAAGTGTAAATACGTCTATAGACGCATTTACACTTTTGGTATTTTATAGAGCTGAATTTGGTTTCTGAATGACTGTAGATGTTTCTCCGAAAAAAAATCATGTGACGTCAAGCAACATTCACTGTTTAATCATGTCTAAAATTATGACTTAATTTTTTTAAATTGTGATGCTAACTGGAAAATTCAGTCATAGTGAGAGATTCAGTGGGCAGCATCATGTATAAGAAAATCAATACATATGTATGTACACAGATTCCTTTGTTTTTATAGTAATTACTTTATCCTGTCACTTCAATGACCTGAAAAGTTTGTCTGTGATAGGGAACGAGTCAAGCAAAAAATATTGCCTTATAAGTTATAACCTCTTATTTTTATTTTTTTCTTATTTAAATAAAAAATGTATTTGAGAGTTGAAAACACACACTTGGTGTCCATTTCAGCCGAACAACAGTCCGACAAAAATGAATTCACCAGGACCTATCCAAATATACCTTGCTTTGAAAGCCATGCTGTACACTCCTTAGGCCAAAATAAATAAATTGTGTGTTTCCTATTTCACCTCCAAAAAAAGTTAGGTAGAGTATACGTAGGTAGGTAAAACATTTGATTTTTTTTCTATTGTTGACAACAGTAAAAAAAGTTCCAAATCAAATCGTTAATGTACATGCCACCGTTTGCCTGATTCTTTAATATTTAGAATAATACTTAAACTACAGCATTTATAATTTTCTGTTTTAGTTCTGTGTCAGAAATATGAAAATAAACTTTAATGCAAATTTTATGCATTATATTGAGCAGAGTGAACAGTCAGTTGTGTCCACTTGAGAGATAGACTTTAACACAATTAACTTAATACAGATGCTGTTTTTATACTTTGCTAACAAGGATATGCTTTAATTTTTGTTGTTACGACATTTTCAGAATCATCAGTGTTTTGGGGAATAATTCACAACTACAAATATTTTAGGCATAAATGATAAATTTCATTGGTTGATGTTATGCTGATCAAAATAGTAGGAAAACAGAAGTATTGTCAGGTCCCTTAAAGCAAAGAGTTGACACAGGGTCTGTAATTTAATCAGATTTATATGTTTGGAATTGTTAAATGTACATGTACTGTATACTGATAATATTTTTTAAAGGCACCAATCAAGAGAAGCAGAACCAAAAGATTATGATATAAATAGAAGTGATACCAGAAATTTATGTAATGCTTCATATAAAAGAATAGGAGATGTAACTGATGGGGTATGTTATTTATGACAAGTTTGCACAGAGTCTGAATCACTATAAGTGCAAAACTTATTGTAATTTTGGCAATCCGGTTAACATTCATTAGAGTCTATTTTTAGGGAGATTTAGGTACAAATTTTTAGAGGCATGCATTCTGTTGTCTATTTTTTGTAGATTTCCACAATTGAAATACAAGTTGTAGTCCCATTATACCTACGGATAAAAATAAGCCTATATCAAGAAAAAGGTTGAACAGTTTATTCTACAAACATGTAACAAATTCCTATAAAAAGCTGTGTAAAAACTCTACATAAGACTCACCAGTGGAGCTTGAATAAAAAAAAGTTGTAGGCAAACTTATGTACACTGTAAATGAATAAATATTTCTGAACAAAACATCATATTTGCCCTTCCTACCTGTAGTCCTGTACTAAATATATCCAAGGTATATCTGCCATTTTCATTCTACCTTTGAAAATACAATTGAACAGGTGCTTCTTTCTAAACCAATCAAATTAGTAAGAATAAACATAAACATGTATAAGCTTCTAACAGGAAAACCACAGGCACTTGTCTCAGAAAAAAAAATCCTATATACCTTGATATAACACACGGTCGCGAAGTTCCGTTGACAACCGAGAAATCGGAATATAAAAGAATTTCGCGACAGGGTGACATTTTTCAAAAATGTGAGTTAAGTACCTTGTGTTATATTAAGGTATATAGGAAATTTTTTTTCTGAGACAAGTGCCTGTGGATGAAACTCTGATGAAATGTTTTTTTTTTTACTCAACTTGCCTATTAGACAAAATGAAGTTTTGAGCTACATTTGTACATTGTAAATTTGAAACAAACTTATATCCTCCTGGCATTTACTTCAGTCATTTAGATATATTTATAAACATGGCCATTTTTATGTCTCCGCCGTAGGCGAATGGAGCATTAAGTATTACCCTTGACCATCCACCTTTACGTACGTCCGTCCCATTTTCAAAGCTTGAGCGGGGGCATTCATGTCCTGAGACACATTCTTCTTTTATTTTTTAAAGACATGCATGCATGATCACAAAAATATCTTTCAAAATTATATCTGATTACATGATGCAGCCTTTGTTGTTCTTCATGAACAGTATTCAGATGCCATGTGAGCAAAGAGCCAGTCTCACTAATTAGCGACAAGAACACTATTTAGCGACAAGAAAACAAATTTAGTGACAAGAAATTTAATATTCTACCAATAAATATAAATTTATAAAAAAGTCAATATCTATAGTAGTAAAGCATCATACATGTTTGAAACATAGATCTAATTGCTACATTTATTTGTGATATATGTATTACAGCAAATATTACGTTTTCCCTGTCATTTTATGATATTAATTTTTACTTGTGTTTTAGAACAATTAGTATATATTATCTTGCAATTTTTTTAACACTCTTTTTGTCTAATATATAATAAACTGATTGCATGCAAAATGCATCATTTGTGCATCATTGTCCGGCAGAAAAAAACAGACATAATTTGTGAGAAACAATGAACCAAGGATTTGTATAGTAAGATTTACTATACAAATCTGAAATCATTGAAATCAAACAAGAGGAAAATGTAAATATTTTACATCATTTTATTTTGTGTATTGCTTCATTAAACGATATTTATCATGTTTTGTTTATGCATGACTGAAGATTAAAGGTAATTAAAGACAATGTTGAGTTTTCAACAGGTGTTCACTATTTACAATGCTTGTATATTCTGGTGCGTGTAATTATATAGTCTGACGTGTGTACAAAGTTAAAGGTGATAATTGGATGTTATTGTACAAATGTAGCAATTAAAACAAAGGACACACGTATCGCTTTTCTCATTTGATTTTTTTTCTAAACATATATTTTTTTCAAAAAGGACACATGGATTAGAAACAATTTTTTTAACTTAGTAACGTCTTCTCATTTGATTTTTCACATTGTGTGTACTGTTATCTTCAATCTTTTATTCAGAGTTTGGTATTTTGGTGATTTTACTTTTTCATACAATGACTTTGCTTAAAACAGTACATATATTATCTTAAACATATTTCGTCATATTTAATAGAAACTAGACAATCCCTTTCTTCTTTACAAATGTTTAATTTCTTCATCTATCAATATAATAAAAATAATGAAAATCATGTTATTACTGCTGTATATATAAAAAAAAAATGTCAAAGCATATTTTTTTAATATATTTATTTTGAATAAGTTAGTTTAATAAGAATTATTTTAAGTTTTCTTGTCGCTAAATAGTCTTCTTGTCGCTAATTAGTGAGACCCCGAAGAGCACATAATAGTTTATTACAGAATACATTTGTACATTAAACTTAACAACCAAGTAACAATAAATGTCTGTGCTATTTTGTCAATCTGTATATGTACCAAACATTTCTTCTGGATATAATTGTAAAATATCTGATATTTTAGTCACTGCCAAAAACTACCTATCAAGACCACACTGAACAGATCTACTTGAGAGATGACTTTGAGGAACAGGAAACAAGAAAAGCCATGGTTACCATGAGAACAATTGATAATACGGATTTGGACAGGTATTTACTGGTTCAGAGATTATGAATTTAGTTGAACCTTATTTGACTGTTTTAAAAATACAAAATGTATTTCTTTTACATGAAATCCCTTTCTTATGTAAGAGGCAGGTGCTGATCCAGGAATTTGAAATAGGGGCCCCTTCAGGTTTGGCAAGCCAACATTTGGAGTAATACTTGTAAAAAGTCTATACTTTTATCAAATATGAAGCTCCATAAGGACCCCCTTAAATCCGCCTCGGAGAGAAACTCAGTGTAATGTAATGGATATATGTTTATTCTCAAACAAAATGAATATTTTTTTATACTGCAACTGTAACTTAATTATAGGCAACCGTACATGTACATGTTATTTACACAGTCAAATTGTATTGACTAAATATTTGTGATGTATGACTCTTTAAGCTTTGTTTGTTATATGAACAATGTTATTTGTGTCACAGTGATAATACGAAGTAATGCAGTTTTATAGAATTGAACATGCTCTTGTTCATGTCTAAAATTCATGATTTTCACCCAAATTATTTTGCTTTTTAGTATTTCAGTAAAAAGGGTATAAACCAACATTGTCTTAGATATAAAATTTATTTGTTATGAGGCTTGGAAAAGGAAAAAAATGCAAGATAGAGAAATATATGTACCAAAAATATTTTTGAAAATCTTTCACTTTTTCGTTAAGTGTTCAAAACATGTATACAGAATAATAGTACAAATAGTTTGTGGCTTATGAGTCAGATTCTTTTAAACTAAAGTAGCAATATACACAGTTAGGAGTGTAGTTTCGCATCTTGGCCAAGGTTGATTTTTCAAATATGAAAGTTATTGTGCAATAAAATTCATTTTTAGACAGCTGATGACTAATTTAGCCTTCAAAGTGGGTTTATAAGAACATCAAGATTATTTTTTACATGTTTTATAGGCTGTTTTCTGTTTGACTGTCCTTATTTTCATAGCCAGACCCCCATAGGTCCAGAAATTATTGTAATGTTTACAAACACTTTTTTTCACACAAACTTTTTGACGCAATTTTACAAAAAAATGAGATGAAAGACATATGATTTTTATTTGATCTCTTGATAGATATATGTAAACAGTTTCAGAAAAGGTATCACTCCAAGGGATTGAAATTCTACTTTGGGCCAAATTTTGGGGAAATATGTGACCCCCCTTTTTGCAATATTTTATAGCAATTAAATGCAGATTGTTGCCATATATACACCAAAAAGAAATTTTATTTAACCTTTTTAACTACTGGAAATCACATCTTTGGAAGATACTGATTACATACATATGCACATATATGACACAAACAGTAGGCTTAATTTGTAAGAAAGAAAGGAAAAGGGGAAGGTAAAATTTATTAAGGTAAATATTTTTTTTCCTAACTGTATAATGCTACCTAAGATAATTGTAAAATCAGAGAATGCTGACTGTTATCTTATGAATTTGTAACTAGTAATAAAGAAATGGATTTCTCAGCTGTGAGGTATCACATGTTACACTTAGGTCCATGAATATTTGATTGTTAGAATATTATTGTCTAAGGAAAGTGTCAACTGTTAGGAAAATCACTAATTCCCACATAAATATGTGTTAGCAATCTGACATACAAACTGTGTTTAAATTGAATAATTGTTTTACATCAGAGTGTTTACTAGTTAACTGATAAATGCTTAACAAATCCATATTAAAGAACTTCAATGATTTAAATCTAGATGTGCTTTTTTTTGTTTTAATAAATTAAAATTTCTTTCAATTTATTAAATTTAAATTATGGAATTAAAAGTGCATACTGGGTAATTTGTTTTTTGCTACATCCAATATAAAAAAGACAATTTTAAGTAGAAACATTAATAATTTTTGCTTCTTTTTACTAGTAAAATATTGTACTTTAAATAGTGATGAAAATTATAACACATATTTCAATTAATGAAACAACTTTTTTAAACTTGTCAACTATCAAAAAATAACAGCAGCAACATTTATAAGATGTACAGGAAAACTATAGATAATGAATAATCTAGTTGCAAGTGAGAAATAGTTACGCAGAATAGCCAAGTTTTTCAAAGGGAAGCAGTTGGAGTTGAAGTTAAAAACATTTAAGCTTTACAAATTTCAGAAATAGTAAGGCCGCTTAAAAAAAATACTTGTTATGCAGAATTTTCAATTTTCAGATGAAAATAGATGGGCAGGCACTGGCAATTATTTTTTCAATGATTGAATCTGATGGGCAGAAAGTTTTATTGGTATCTTGAAATTTAAATATTCATTAAATGCAGTATTGATAAAATTCTAGCTTATCCTTGTTTGTCATTTGTACATCATCATGTATCACTTACTTCTGTTCTTGCTGCAGTGACTGTAGAGTCATTCTGTTTTCAAGCTACATTGTACTATGGAATTGCTTATCTTTCAATACAAGTAATGGGGGACACATTTGATTTAAAAACAGTCCTCAAGAAGGAAGAATTCAAATAACAAAATTCCTTAATTGAAAATGTTCAAAATAAAAAATTGTATTGAAACAATTTTCTTGACATCGCTAGTGGTTGTCCTTTACTAGTATTGTTGTATATCCATTTGTTTATTGTTTTGTGCATAAATCAGGCCATAAGTTTTCTTGTTTGAATTGTTTTATAAGGTGTACATACATGATTGGCTGATTTCTTCTGACTGTGACCTCATTTTCATGGTCCATAGGTCATGCATGTTGCTATGTACAATATGTCAACTATATTTGGTGTATGTAACGATTGTACACTTTAGAAAATTGATAATGTGATATTTATGTGATACCTGTAATGAAGCCTTGATCTTTATAAAGACTTTTAATTTTAGCATTAATTCAATCTTGATCAGGAGAGCAGGTGAAAAATTTGAGCATGAGCACTCTTGTTTTATGAAAATATTGAGCTAGTTGTCTGTAAAACAATTTACACGTCAGCCTAGAATCAATCAAATAATAACAATAATGTTCATTAATTATTGACACAATATTATTACTCTGTATTTGCGTGATTGCAGATGACATGTATGTATTTAAAGTAATTATCATTTGATCTCACGTTAACTGAAGATTAGGAGGCATAAACTATAATTTTGCTAAAGGTTCGTGAACTGTACTGTTGTTTTAATATGCTGGGCATGTTGTCATGAAGATCCCTTATTCTTTTTTTTCTAATTGAATTATTTATGTAAAAGTATGATATGTTATTAAGGATGTAATTTGGATCTGTACTTTCAAATAATGAATAATTAAATTTATTCTGATCTCAAATTCATTAAATGGTAGAAGGTGAGATAAATAATACACAGCCAAATCAATAAATAATTTTTCAATAACTTTGAGTCTTACTGCTCATCAATGTAGTTCCCTCTAAGAAAAAAGGCAATATTGGATTCTCATGATTTATGTTATGGATGATATATTTATTTTTTAGAACATTCCTTTACACATTTTAAATCATCAACTCTGGTTAAAACATTACAATGTTTACTTTTGTTTTTTTATGATAACATGTTTATCTGTTGATTTTTTTCATCAGATGCTTATAATTTTTTGAATTTCAGTCAATGTTCTGATTTTTTTTAATCTCCTTTTACACAGCATATAAATTTTTCTTCTTTTTTCCATTTTATACCTTTTGTAAAAATTAATTTGTAAAATCGAAATATAACATGATAATAAATATGTGTATGTGAATCTAGTAAATACTGCTTCATAATTATTTTCATTGAAATGACTGAATTTGTTACTGTTATACTAATAAAAGATAAACAATACAATATATTTTAAATTTTCATTCTAAACCATGCTAATGGATAGCATGTTTTAAAATGTTTGAATATGAAGTAAAAATTTCATGTTTTATCAGTTTAAATATATATGTGTCTAGATATGTGACAACTTTACGATCCATTGGATAACCTGTGGTTATACAGGACTAACACTATAATTCATGTTAGATCTGCAAATTTGCCCTCAGTGGGATTTGAACCCCTGCATCTGAGACATTGTGGCAACACTTCCTGCACTTTGTCCAGTGCCCTATATATATATATGTGTATGCCACTTCTTGCCATGTATGAAAGTTTAAAGCAGGACTATATATTTATATATTACAGAGAAACAGAAACACCTGAGAGAGGATTTGGATCAGTATTACCTAGACATAATCCAGATTATAATAAATTCCACTTAGAATCAACACATAAAGCAGATTTTACACCTCCTGACCCAAATTATGTACCAGTACCTGTAAGTATGGCATACATGTGGACATCTCAATCCAAATGGTTTCATACTGTTGCACTTAACACTATTAATAGTTTGCTTGCATAAATTAAAAGTATCCAGGGGAAATCTTTAACGTTCTAATTATAAGCTTTCAAAACATTTAAAAAAAAACACTATAGTTAGTTTTTGAAAATGTATAATTAATTTTCATCTTCTTTTAATCTGATTTAGTTTAAGATTGAATGTATACCATTGTATGAGAGATGATAAAATGGGCCCATGAGGAGAATAATACAATTTTATCCGACATTATAATATATTATCAAATATTTCATGTAGATTTCCATCCAATATAAAATTGCATTACTTTTTCTCCCTTTATATTGAGAGGTTCCATGTAAACAGATATTAACATACAAGCAAAAAAAAAAAATCATCTGTATAATTTGTTCAATTAATTTTTATTTAAGGAAAAATTGCCCGACTTCCCTGACCAGTCACCAGCTTACAGAAAGTGCCTCTCACAATTTACTGATACCTGTGATTATCGTAGACCTGGTCGCAACACATGGCAAGACGAAAGTGGAATCTATGCTAACACTCATTACAAAAGACAAATTATACAATCAAGAAATCCTATCCCAGAACAGAAAGCTTGATGCTCTAAAAAATTGTAAAACAGAGAGAGAAGCAATTTTTTTTTAATTTCTAATTTAACTGGTATATATATGAGTAAAAATATCTTATACAGGAATAATAAGAACTGAGATATTTTTTTTGTTTACATTTATTTATTTTTGATATTTTACCAGGAAGTAAAATTGTTGTTGATATCACTTTTCATTGTGCTGACTCTTTTATTGATTTAATAATGAATCACTTTGATATTCCTCTTTCATTTGTCAAATATTTTACAAGATTTACACATTTGATAATATGTATATATTATATACAATTTATTATTTTATAAGAGAATTTAATATATAACTTTCATTAAATGATAATATCCATATCTTTTCTTTCTTGTCTTTAGTTCTTCATAAGATATCTTTACATGACTGATGTTGGTTGGATGTATTATGTATACTCCTGTCTAGTCATCCACTAATATTTCTTTCACACTTTTAAACATAAAGAAACTATTGATGGAAGAAAGCTCCCTTTCAATTTTGACTATTCTGATTTGTCGCTTTAGAGAATTTTTTAACTAAACAAAGATACCTCCCAATCCATTTGTCCCTATTTTTATACGCCCGTTTACAGGACGTATTATGGTATACCGTTGACCGTCCGTCTGTCCATCCGTCCGTCGTCAACATGTCGGACATTAACTCAAAAAAGCTATAACCAATATGCATGAAACTTTGGTGACTTGTTTATATCTATTGACGTGAGCTCCCTTTCGGTTTTTATAAATTTCAGATTTAACGTTTCTGAGTTTTTGGGTTTTATTCATTAAAAAAGGGGGGATTTTCCAGTTTTCGGACAATAACTAAAAAATGCTTTCAGCAGTTCTCATGAAACTTTGGTGAATTGTTTATATCTGTATATGTAAGCTCCCTTTAGAATTTTATAAATTTTAGATTATACATTTCTGAGTTATGGGGTTTTATTCATTAAAAAAGGGGGGATTTTCCAGTTTTTGGACAATAACTCAAAAATGCTTTCAGCAGTTCTCATGAAACTTTGGTGAATTGTTTATAGCTATTGATTTTCATAAATTTCAAATATGACATTGAGAAGAAATTGAACTTTATTTGTTTATAGTCTGACAACAGATTTACTAAGTATTGCGCAACAGCACAGTGTATTGCACAACAGCAAGAAATCTTTAATTGAATATAAATTCAATTCATATAACCAATTTCAAGTTCTTTGACTACATTTATTCAGAAACCTATAATATGTCAAATATTTAATTACAATCCAAATTCAGACCTGTATCAAGCTTGAATATTGGGTCCATTTTTGCCCCAACTGTTCAGGGTTGGACCTCTGCGGGCATATCCAGCTGCACTCAGGGAAGTAGTTTATTAAATGCCTGTCTTATACAGGACTTATTATGGTTTACTGTACTCAGCCCATATGTTCATATGTCAACACTTACCCAGTTAATGGAATATAGTGCTTTTCAATTTTGATGATTTTCAATTTTGTTATTCCAGAAATGTGGCTTTTTATTCATTGAAATTAGGATATTTTTCCAATGATATACAATAACTTAACTTTGCTGTGATACTTTTTCCTGAAATTATATATTAACAGGGCTAAAATAAATCAAAAAAAGTTCACTTTTATTATTCATCATTTTCTTCTTTGTCATTTTATAGTTATTAGTTTTATTTATGAAAAATTAAACATTTTCATATAGTCTTTATTCTCAAGTATGCTGTGATTGATTTCCTCAAAACTTTACACTGTTGTTGAGTTTGATTAAAAGGAAACTCCTTAGATGTAGAATTTTTTTCGTCTGGTGTTTCCATGAGTTAGGGGGCTTTATCTGTCCAATTTAAGTATATTTTTCACATGTTGTACTTAATTCGAGTATGCTTGGATCAATTAACTGGAAACTATGTACACAACTGTTGGAATTGATTTAAGAAAGATACCTTTTGATTTTGAATTTTTTTTTGTCATTCCATAGTTATGGGACTTTAAGGCATTTATTTTTAAATGTCTCAATCTAGTAGTATACTTTAATCAAATTACTACAAACTTCGCAATGTTGTTGGGATTGGTGAATACAGACTTGCTTCTGATTGTGAACAATTTAAGGGGTGATGTAATTTAACAGTCATATCTAAGGCAATATTAAGTTTATACCCCAAAGGATATCCTCAAGCAAGTTTTGCTACAGAGCCATTTTACTAACTTCTTTTAAAAGATGCCTTCTAAATAGTAAATTTTTTTTGTAGCAACAATTTTAATGTGCACAAGACCGTCATATCATTCCCCTTTGGTGCAATTGCTTAATAGATTTGTAGTCCTTTACAAAACAGACAAACTAAACATAATACTTTCACCAAAATATTGGAAAGTAGGTTTTTATTAAAAGATAATCATCTCACTATCTACAAACAATGCAAGAGTATGCTAAATTTAATTGACTGTGTGTTTTACTATCTTGACATATGGTCTAGACAGGTAAAGGGTGAGGTTTGTGCCCAAGTACAAGTTGTTTTGACCCATGGACAATGTGTATGTGGTGTTGTTTGTCTTAATAAATAAAAGGAGATTTCGGGTATATGTCTATGAAACAATAACCATATGACAAAAAATAACCAAAAGACAATTGACTAACCATATTTAAAGCTAATTAAACTCAAGTCTAAAAATGTTTTGAATAAATTTAACAGAAACAATCAAAGATATAACATATGATAACAATTGATGAGGTTCCTGATTTTGGACAATTATTTGTATGGTAATTATATACTATACAAACAAACCAGAATATACAATGAAAAGTATAACATGGAAAAGCAATTCACTCTAAAACAACTGTATATGGTGATTTACTGTAAATTCAGAAATTTGAGCTGTTATTGTGAACATGTTGCTAAAAAAAAATTGATGGCATTATATATGTATGTAACAATTCCTGAAATGACAACTAATATCAACCTCTCATTTTTTTCCAAATTTTAACAATTGCAATAATAAAGACAAACAAACATTTCTGAACAGTAGTTTTGAAGTACATTGTGACATAGAAGGAATGAGTTATTTTTATTTGTAGAATTAACCATTTACTCAACCAAAGATGAATAACTAGACATATCGTTCTCTCTACTGGATGCCCAACTGTCTAAACAACATTATATGGTTGTGACTGCCAAGTGGTCTGCAAAACCTATATTCAAATTACTAACGTCCATCTTTTTAGGGCTTCATAGTTTTGTGAAGGGTCACGCTGAAAGATGTGGATATGAAAATAAAAGAAATAGTAAAAGAGAAGAGAATGATACCAAAGGGATATTCAAACTCATAAATCGAAAACAAACTGACAATGCCATGGTAGTAAACGAATAACGACGAAAAGTCAAACAACAGTACACAAAACTCAACATAGAAAATTAAACACTGAACAAAACTAACCACACCTAAAAACCGGAAGTGATCTCGGGTGCTCCGGAAATGTAAGTAGATCCTGCGCCACAAGTGGCATCCGTCATGTTGCTCATGTAAGCACAAACCCAGTGATAAGTCTAATTTGGTAGATCACATTCGAGGAAAAGAGGACAAGGTTGTTGTAACGACAATTGGAACATATCCTTCGTTATCTGTGGAACAGATATTCCATAACGGTCAACTAACGTACTCGTGATGGCGTCCGTAAAATTTTCGAATGGATGATTTCAACTTTAAAACTTGGAACTCTTGGTTCAATGGCTTCCTTTTAAGCAGCATGGGGAATGCAAGTATGGAATATCGTTTCAACTTGGATATAATCTTATACTCCATTTGGAGGCGCTGCTGGAATGTTGGTACATAGAAATAGATATATCACAATTGGGAAGCTAAAATCATTAGTAAATTCTGTTTAAAAAATTCGTAAGGGGTTCCGCAGAACCCTGTGTCTCGCCTGCGATTGCTGCTGTCAGTGTAAAAGTGTAATGTTGACTTTAAAAGTAAGTCTAATTTATCAGTAAAATACAGAATATAAAAAAAATCAAACTTTTTCTTAAGATGCTATTTCTTGGTCTTGAAGATTAGCTTCTGTTCAAGTTTCAAAACACTCCATGAAAGTTTACAAATTTATCATGTCAAAAAATTTTAAATTTAATCCCAGACTGTCTGTAAATGTTAACTGTAAAAACAAAGTCCATCTATTAGAAAAATACTAAAAATGGTTTGCATCAGACACTATCTCTCAATCATTAAAAAGCTTCTGCCAAAGTTACATAAAACTCTATGAAGGATTTGACAAATTAATTGATGTGTAACAAACTTTAACCCCAGACTGTATATATATTTGTTAACTGAAAAAGAGCCTGTGTCGCTCACCTAGGTCTATGTGTATCTTCAACATTGTAGACTACTGTTTACAGTTTCCATCTTATTTAGTTTTTGCCCAAAACACAAAAGAGGGTAAACAAAAATCGTCATGTAAGGGCAATCACTCCTATCTACTAACTTTTTCGGCAGAATAGACCTGATTGAAGATTTTGTCTTGCTGATCAATTTTGTTATTTAAAGTTTCTATCTTTCTCGTATAGCTTTCAAGATAATATGCTAAAATTGGTAAAAATCGTCATTAAAGAACATTAACTTCAATAACCAGTCAACTGAAGAATTCAATCATTAAACTTATTTGTAGATCTTGCCTTGCAGATAACTTTTGCTCTTTAAAGTTTCTATCTATATATTATAAAACTAAGTCCATTTATCAGTAAAATACGTAAAAATGAAAATAAATATTTTCAATTTTTTCTCTCAATACTGTATTTTGGTCATAAAAAAGCTTCCCTCCAAATATCATACATTTTCATGAAGGTTTTAGAAAGTTATTGATGACTGAAAAACTTTAACCTCAGACTAAATCTGAATGTTAACTGTAAAGAAAATTAAGTCCATTTATCAGTAAATATGGAAAAATGAAAATAAATATTTTCAATTTTTTTCTATGGATATGTATTTTGGTCATACATTTAAACAAGATTCTGTCCAAATTTCATAAAATTCCATGTAGGGTTGACAAAGTTTTTTATGTCTAAAATTGTTTTAACCACAGACTGAACCTAAATGTCGACGACGCCGACGACGGAATCTAGGATCGCTTTATCTCGCTTTCGCAAGATAAATTTTGCAGGCTCGACAAAAATGGAAATGAAAATACAAAGAGGGCAATCAAACCTTATGAAAGCATATAAAATCAAAGTTCTATTATAATGTGCAATATGAACATTAGACTTCTCTATACACAAGTATTCGTCTTTGTAGAATTAAAGACAGATTAAAAGAATCAATCCCAGTTTTGTTTCGTAAAAAAATGCCAGCATAATTCAAAATATTTTGTTTTAGGAAGGGACTTATTATACTTTGTAAAGACCCCTTAGGATTTACATAATCTTTAATATGTTTATTTCTTAAGAGACAACATATTTGTTATTTTTTTGTGGACCTGTTTTGGAACAAACTGTCAGCATTCCTATAAAAACCAACTGTGCTGCCCTTCTTGCTTATTTTTGCGAGGCAGACTTCATGCATGAACTTATCAAGGAGAAAGAAATGATGCTACTCTACGCTCTCCTATGTAGATCATGTCCTCGCAACGAATAATTGAAAGTTTGGGTGATTGTGTTGATCGTATCTATCCAATTGAACTTGTATTAAAAGATATTACATATATAGTAAAGCTAGTTCAATATCTTGACCTGGACCAATACATTGACAGTGGGGATTGTTGAGACTAACTATACGAGATATTACCTTCTTTAACTAAGGTTGACCAATGATGAAGTCTTTAGAAAAAGAGGGACGAAAGATACCAGAGGGACAGTCAAACTCATTGATCGAAAACAAACTGACAACGTCATGGCCAAAAATAAAAAGAAAAACAGACAAATAATAGTACAGATGACACAACATAGAAAACTAAAGACTAAGCAACACGAACCCCACCAAAAACTGGGGGTGATCTCAGGTGCTCCGGAAGGGTAAGCAGATCCTGCTCCACATGTGGCACGTACGTAGATTGTACGTTCTACGAATTTATATCTACTAGAAGCTGTTTAGCTAAGATTGTTACAGCTCTTCTATAAAAGCATGCAAAGCAAACTTTTGATCAACTTGCTTGCTATGTTTGCTTGGATGTTTTCAAACAATAGGTAGGCGGAGTTTCAGTCTGTTTTGTATATACTAGAATTTGATTAGACAATAAAAAATGACATGCAATGAAGTAAGTGTTTATGTCCAGCCAGATTCCAGTTGTTTACAAACATCCAAACAAACATAGCAAGCAAGTTGATCAAAGGTTTGCTTTGCATGCTTTTATAGAAGAGCTGTAAATCCTGTTTTGCCTTGCGAACGAGTTTAAAAGACTACACTGCGGAATGCAATCAATTCGGTACTAGTTACTATTCTGTTAGTTCTTTCAAGTTTCTGCCCAATGGACAGGTAAACACCATATTTACAGAATCTTAACTTACAATCATACATGAAAACAAGAATCTCATTATAAGAAATATGACATCGGGTATCTTAGGTTCTGACAAATCCAGTTTTGTTTATCTGGCTATATAAGAATGTGTGAGGTATTGACATCATTTTGTTTCCGTATTCATTTATCAGTAACGCTATTGGTTTTATATTAAACCCTTTGCGACAAATATTATCTTCTCTCCAACATGACTGGAAGAAGAAGAGGAGGTCCGTTAAAAACTTGCTTTCAGCATAGATTGTTAATTTCCTTCTAATCAGAATTGCATTCATGCCAGCTGCGATGCAATTCTTGGTTGATTGGTTTAATTTAAAATTTCTTCGTTTTTGAAACCACACGACAAAACACTTTATTGTGGTGATGATTTAAAGAGCATCCAAGATATTCTACATTTTTGCAAACATTATGTGAATAATATCGCATAGGTTCCCGACGATATATGCTGGAAATTTTGTTCATCCTCTAAAGTTACCTCATCAATATCGAGCCAACCTTTGCTGAATTATCACACATTAAGCTTGGACTTTTGTCCCTTTTTTTTCGGTGGGGGGGGGGGGGGGGGGGTCTTTTGTTTTTGTGGGATTTTGTCATGATATGTTAAAAGTTCAAATACTGTCGCTTTGGTCATTTTCTTATATTTTGTTCAGTTTGAAATGAACTTTCTAGGCATATATTGCCTGAGCCGTATTATGCAAAAATTTTCGGAATTTTGTTTTCAACGTTCTACAACTTTGTTTCAGACTGTTTTGATTCGAGTGCCACGTTTTAGTCTAATGTATACGAAACGCGCGTCTGGCGTACCAAATTATAAACCTGGTATGTTTGATGAGTTCTTACTTAAATGGTTTACGTCCGATCAAAATGGAGACATTAATGCAGATGCTTCCAATTGGAGAGACCAGAACTACCCCTTCCTTTTAAACATCCTAGCAATTGCTTTATCAGGGACAATATAGTAAACTAAAATGTATACCCTGCATAACATGTATCAACAAAGTTTTAAAGATCACGTTACTTTGACGTTGTTCATGTTTGTTGCTTTGAATATGCATAAATATGTACGTTTTTTTTAAATGTATGCTTTATGCGTTTTGTTTTCTGTCATTTAAATAGATACAAATGCATATTATTGATTTAACTGGAGACAAAAAGTAAACTCATTTGATTAATTTTATTAACAATTTAGAGTCATGACTATATAAAACATGACATAATGATAACAATGAACTATGAATGACATATGAACACTACATTATTTTAACAAGCTAACAAGTAAATATTTTCATCAATAAAACAAAGTCCCGGTCATATAAAAGTATGCATCTCATTTATAAAGTAATTGTATGTGTAATAACAAAAGAAGAAAAAACTGTCCTATTATATTTCTGACAATTGCATTTGTTTGCTATAAAGGCTGTAAGGGCTCTTCCTGACCAAAATTGTGAAACTGGATAGTGCATCTTTTAAAATCCACAACCTTCAGACATTAAAAAAAAAGCCTGCATGTGCATCGCTGGATTTTAAACTATTACATCGCTATACAATGAGTCAAAATTAGTATAATTTTAGTTTCAAATTTTAATTTGAGCACTATACATATTTAATATTTAATTAACAACTCAACCTTTACAAAATATCGCCAGTAGAGTTATGGGATAATGTGAATATAGAATTATCTGAAACAGCAAACATTTAGACAGATCTATGTTTAAATAAATACAAACAGGTCAATTACGGTCAATTTCCCCTGTATTTGTTTCACTCACATGGAATCTAAAACTTGTCAAACCCTACTGGAAATTGAATATTTGAGACTATACCATATTATTCAAATAATTAAGCGCTACATGATTCTGTTAAAGGGATTTTGATAAAAAAACTTTACAAATTTACAGGTTTTGTCAAATACCGCAAAACCAAGTTTTGTTAAAAATTGTCTTTCTCGTACATTCTTGGGATAAATAATCAAAATTTGACAGAACGATAAAATTTGCCAAAAAGTACACATATTTAGCTATGATACTATTGACCACTCAATTTCCGTATAAAATCAACAACAACAAGATAAGATGTGGTGTGATTGCCAACGATACTACTATCCATGAAGACCAATGGTCAAAAATGTAAATTATAAGGGCTCTGCAAGGAGGGTACACAACGATATTTCACGAGTAATATTTATATTTTGTGGTATTATTATATGTCAGAATGGATAGGATATAACAAATGCTCTAATTAAACTTTAGTTGGGGACAAACATTCGAAAAAACGCCAAAGCAGGATGTTAAATGCAGATATCAAATATATCATCAATTCAGCCAATGAACATTTTAGCACAAACTAATACGAATGCTTAAAATGCAATAATCAGGACATAATAGATATACAAAATTAGATGATTTCATCCCACATTAATAAAATGGATATCCCAAAAAACAGAAAAAAAATAAATATATACATCATCGTATATAATTTTAAAACTCTGATTATCCTCTAGTTGTGTGTTCTTCTAAACTAGTAACTTTATCGGTTGTAGCCATTCAGTATATGCATGAGACATGTCTCTGGTATATGCAAAAACACCTGTGGCTTTAAAAGGACTACTAAATTATAAACCTGGTATCTTTGATGGCCCTTTTAACCTTTCCAGGGTGCCTGAGTTCATCCCCTGTATAAGGTAAGGTTAGTGTTGCTTAAGCTTTATCTTGGATGTTCTGTTAGTGAATTGTGGATTGCTGTTTGTCTGTTCTTTTTTTAATTCTTTTTGGGCATTTGTGTTTTTTGAAACTTGTTTTTTATTGCCCCAATGGTATCTTGTTTTATCTTACAAAAACTAAAAATATGTTTTAATCTTGCAAAATCTATTTACAGAAATTGTAGGCAACCAAATTGTTCAGATTGAAAAACTGATCCTGCATTTTACTTTGCCATTTTTTTATTTCCAGCAGCTCTTGGTGAGCAGTTACTTGCTTTTCTTTATTGCTAATATTATAATGAACAAAATTTTGGTAACGAAAGAAGACAGCTTTAGTACAGGAGCCAATAGTCTCGTAAAGTTACAGAAAGAACCAACATTCTAACAGCGGTTCATCTGGACATTTAGTATACTCGAAGGTCGTAATCGAAATAAATTATGTCCGCCCGTGGTTGTTTCCGTTTTCACTACGGTATGCTTTTTTTTTCTCATAAATTTACCCTTTGTAAAATCTAACAAAAAACCAATGGGCTGCCATAGATTATCTCGTAAACATGCACATAATATTCAGAAGAGTGAGTTATCTAATCCAACTGCTTGCAGTTTCAAAACATGTTGATATATCTTCAGAGCCGGTCCTAGTCTAATATTAAGTCCAGTTAAAACATCACTTCTCTTCATCAAAAGTAATGACTGTCCATCTATCTCCTGATTAAAAAATATTATGATTGAACAAACTGGACAGATGGAACAAAAAACGATATGTGATGGTAGCGATTAAGAAATAACTGCCCTTAATTGATGTTTGAAGGTCGCAAATGAAAATCTTAATGGTGACGCGTAGTAGCGCCAGCAAAACCATATATTCAGCCAGATATATTCGACTGTCAATCACAACTGACATCACCAACGCTCCAAACACATTACCGTTCTAAAGCAGTAGTCACATAATAACATTTACGTTACCAAATTTACTATAAACATCTGTCATACAAGTGGGATGATTAGCTAGATATAAAACCAGGTTTAACCCACCATTTTCTTCATAAAATGCCTGTATCAAGTCAGGAATATGGCGGTTGTTTTCATTTGTTCCTTTGATAGATAGCTTTTGATTTTGTCAGTTTATATCGACTTCCCCTTTTTGAATTTGCCTTCAAGTTCGGTATTTTTGTTATAATTTTTTACTGCACCAGGTGCACATTTCGACAATCAACGTCTCTTCAGTGATGCACGAGATTGGTTACAGTCAGTGTATGCTTTTTTCATGTCGGCATCTCTATGAAAAAAAATGTGCTCTTCTGCTAGCCAACTTATCCTGTATTCTTGTTCTATGAGGCATACTCCTTACAGGGGCTTCTCCGAAAAAAAATATAAGAAGCTAGTATCATCATCCGTTAACCTCACTTTCTGCTTTATAGATAATTGCCTCTCATTGAATTCTTCAAAGATTTGTGACTATGTTGATCACATTTATCTTTTAAGTTGAAATAAAAGATACTAAAGATACAGTTAAGCCGGAGTGATTTCTTGACTTCCATTTAGAAATTGATGGCGAGGGCTGTTTGCGAATTAAACTTTTTGACAAAAGATATATGTTTTCCTATTGTGAATTTCCTTTTCTATATAATTTTTAGCCGCAGTTGCATATGGAGTGTATATCTTACAGTTGATACGATAATTCAGGGCTTGTGTTTTTTATAATGATTTCCGTCATACAAGTTTACTGCTGTACAAGGAAATTTCTTAATGGTAACGTTGATGTCATTTTTTGGAAGGTTTTGAAGGTATAAAATAATTTTGTTGACCGTTCTTGAATGCTATAGACGTCCAATAATGTAGTCCAAATGTTTTAGTCACATTTCTGTCCTTTTTGCATCAATAAAGACATTACCCACATGCGACTTCCATCAAATGTATACTTGAAATGAGCAACTCGCTAGACGTCTCTAGTAAAACAGGAACTGATTAAACATTTTGTGAGAACCCTAGTTTTCCAACGGTTCACTATTAAGTCTTATATAGACGAAATGCTCGTCTGTCGAACTAGTTTATCAGTATCTTTTATAATGAACTTCGTGTAGCACAATCATTAGTATTCTTCGTATTGTTTTGTAGTCTATTGCTTGTCTGCTGGTCTTACTACTTTTCACCATGGTGCCGTCTGTCTTGCATCGACTTAAGGATTTTCAATGTTCCTTTGTTATCACCTCCCATTTTGTGATTGTTCCTTTTTTGTCTCCTCCCCTTTTTGTTAAACATGATGAGAGTTGCTTCAAATTTCAATTTTGTCAATGAAGAATTAAGACTTTAAAAGTCATTTACAATCGTCAAATTTAATATATAATCTGAATTCCATAATATACAGTTACCTGTTCTCTAAAAGCCTCAGCTTGATCTTTGAATCCCACCGATATGATGAATTGAACGACGTCATCTGTCGTCCATTTAGAAGCATCGGGATATTTGCCATTATCTAATTTGGGTATTGACGAATGACCATTTTCTTTTGATTCATTTTTGAAAAAAGATCTGGAATAGATGTGACTGACAAGATATTGCATTGTTACGGGATTATTATTTAAACTATAGTAAATTCATGCAAACAGCTTAGTACTTCGGTCTGTGACAACACTATATTAAGAAATCATTCTAAATTTTAAATTTGAAAATACGAATTACATAAATTAATTGTCAATAAATTTACAAAATATCTTGGAAAATAAACCCAATTCACATTATAAAATGATATATTTCCTACTGTTGAATTTTTTTTTTTCAATTTACACAATGTTCCGCAAGTTTTTTTTTATATCTTAGTCCTCTTGTCTCATCATTGCGTTATTTCGATGTACAACAATAATAATAATTTAAAAAAAAATGGGATTCATTTCCTTTATGCACAAGTATTTACACAATGTTCCTCAAGCTTTTTTTATATCTTAGTCCTCTTGTCTCATCATTGCAGTATTTCGATGTACAGCAATAATGATAATTTTTTTTTAAAATGGGATTTATTTCCTTTATGCACAAGTATTTCTTTATTATTTCTCCTGCCAGTATCAACATAAATAAACTGCTAACCTTACATCCGGGTCCTGATCTGTAACTGGTGACTCACAAGGGGTAGGGTAATTGCAACTAGTATTTCCTATAAGAATACAGTACTCTAATTTCTTTCAATTATATATTAAAGAAAAATGTATTATTGCTTTGAAACCTACGTATAACTTATATATATCATACTGTGAAAAGAATTCAAGCAAAAATTTGATTTTTAAGAAGTTGACAAAAAATGTCATCTAAAATTTAATTTCTCCAAGAAAAATATCTATCTAAAATAGGTTTCATAGCTTCTCAGAGATAGTTATTATACGTCAGTTTGTAACTTTTCAGACATATGCGTTCCCAAAATTGCTGCACATATATATAATGTAAATGTAAATTTGCTATGCAGAAAGTTCTTACCCGATTTGTTCTCAGTATCCTTTGTCTCTGTGTCTTCTACAAGGTCCGCATCAGTTATTCCCTGATCCGCACATTCAGAACATATCCATTTTCCTATAAAACGAAAAGGCGCAATGTATGTATTTTGAATTTAGTCGTGAAACCAAGTAATGATTCATTTTAAATGAATTCGTTTGTTTATCATATGGTCTCCCAAGTCGTCTCTTTATCTGAGGTATTCAACAGAGTTCATTTCAATTATATATAAAAAAAAAATGAGTTCAAATCAAGTAGATGTCGTACATGAATGCTGTTCTGTGATGTTTTATACGATGACCATTTTTTCAGATGTACGTTAAATGGGTATATTTTAGATACTATATATACACACGAGTATTGCCTGTTAACACATATAGTGGTGATATAGATGTGCGTTTTTATTGCATTTGCTAAAAGTAATTCTAGCATTAAACAATGTCCAGTAACAATGATCACAGTAACCTAGAGTACCAGTATAGGATTCTTTGGTATCGAAGTTATCAATATTTTTTATGTCTTTTGAATGCAATTCAAGGTAGAAGGTTAAAGCATTTTTCCAGCTGGTAGTATTTTTCTACAAATTTATACTTTCAGACAATAAATTAATAGACATATTTTTTTTAATTAAACCAAGAAAGTACATGAGGGGGTTGGTTTGCTCATTTTCTTCACAAATTCTTTGCTGTCCGAATAATTTAAAAAATTTAACCTTTGTTGTTGATCTTGTACAAACAGTGATCATTGGTTGTCCCAATCTTCCTTTGCTTTTAGATAACCGTATTCACTCGATTATCATAGCTTGACCGAAGGGGTGCCGTGGTAGCCATGTTTAAGATGAACACTTCCAAGAAAAAGAAATTGTTGTTTGACTGCTTTTAGCATATGTCAATCATTTACTAGATTTCCGTTCTTGATAATAGTCGTTGTTTAAAGAAAGTTTATTTGTTTCGTTAATCATCCATATTTATAATCAAGGCGACACTCCTCTGTTCAATGTTATCATCGCCGAGATAGAATAATAATACAGGCTTATATGGACACGGGAGAGGAAGCAATCTCCATTGTCATATGATATGGCCTTTTTGTAAAAGTCTTGACGTTTATATTTATTGTTTGATAAACGTTGTGGTTAATAGTATCGTCAAATCATGTTGGTGAGTCGTTATCTCACTGCCAAAATCGTGCAGTAGTTTCTCTGTGCTTTCTTTCCACGACTAAGTAGATACTTTTTGATTTTCCCACGCTCTACACTACTATTCCCATGATCAACTGAAAGATCGACTACATCTTCTAATTCGCAGTACCTTTTCTCCAAAATCGGAAGCTCAGATATATGTCCCTTATTTTAAGTCATGAAAAATCATACTTTGTGAAGATCCACACTGAATCCAACAACAAATATACCAAAGATGACATAAACAAAATGCTTGAATTTGGATTGATAACATATTTGTTGAGTTTGGAATATTAATATTGCAACAGACCGTCTCTATTCCAATGGACACTAATTTTAGATCTCTACTAACCGACTTGTTATTGTACTCATGTGAAACATAAATTAATACAAAACCATCTCTAAGACAAATAAAATGCATCTTCCAAAATTGTTTAAATTCGCTTTCAGATACATGTATATTGATGATGTCCTGTCGCTCAATACTCCACATATCAGTTAGCACTTGTATCTCATATAATCTTGTGAATTTGAGATTAAGGATAATACCGAAACTGCTTCATATCTTGATCTTTTCCTTGGTCTTCGTACAGATGGACCATTTAAAACAAGAATCGATGACAGACGTGATGATTTCAGCATTTCAATTGTCAACTTCCCATTTCTCAGCAGCAGCATATCCTCCGGCCCATTGTATGACGTTACGTAGCTCAATTAATAAGTTACGCTTGTACGTGTTCACATTATACGGACATAATTGACAGGGGTGTGCTCCTAGCACAAAAACTGTTCGAACAGAATAATAAGGAAGTACGACTGAAGTTGACACCATTTAAGTTTTACGGTCCCCACTACGAATGTGTTTACCGATGCCATGTGTCTGTGTCACCACACTAGCAGCATGTTTTCGCGGTCCGAGAACTTTCGATTTCAGAAAGGTCGTCTTATCTATTAATTCACCGATTGTGTCATATTCAAGATTGTTACATTTTGACTGAGTGTTGATTTGCATGGCGGGTAACTTCGGACACGCACATACAGAATGTGGAGAGGTTAAACATGTTTGATGAGTGTTTTTGTATGCATTTTCAACATAACCCACAGTGTTGACTTACTTAAAAGAAAAAAGTGAACCCCAACATAAAATCAGCTGTCCATCTATAATTGTTTTGTTGGGCGGTACGATGTGAAATGTCATAACTGACCATTCCTGGTGTCGTATTATTATTTTTGTTTATACCAATTATCTCATACATATAATGTTCATATTTAAATTATAAGCATCTCTTGAATTATTTGTGGTGAGGAATATAATTGCATGGATATTTGATGTTAAAATTCGGAAATGCGCCTGCAAACACCATTAAACTCTTGGACATCAGGCCTGCACAAATCATTAAACATTCGACATCGTGAGTTTCTAATATCATTATATCCGATAAAACTAAATAGTTGCGCTATTGATGAAACCAAAGAAAACAATTTACCTGAAGGTTTGTCTGTGACTTTAGGTTTGTGACAGTTCATATGGTAACCTTTGTCACAAGCATCGCAAAATAACATGCTATCCTGTAAAATTGTATAATATCAACGTTAGGGGAAGATTTCAAATGTTCAAGTTTTTAATTAAAAAAAAATACAGATCAAAATATAGTGATGATAGCATCCCAGTCATTTTCGCTAAAACACCCCAAAACAAATCCCAAGTTATCGAGTAATGAGATCTGATATATCCTTGTCGACGAGTGCATTTTTTAGTATTTTTCATCCTCCTCGTGACTGATAAATCGTCTTTATCAATTTCATGTAAATCTACTGAGCCAATCGTAACTTAACAAATTGAGGATAAAGGATATGAAGTACGTGTGCGTGTAAAACGTTCATTAATACAAAGCCATGTTTGCTCATTTTAAACATTTGTAAAGCGAATTAACCCTACATCACCTATACAAATCTCCACCAATCGCTATAGTTCCTATCATATGTGTATTGACGGATACAAATGAACAAAAAAATTATGCGAAGCATTTTAACTTTAAATCGTCCTATTCCTTTATTATTTCATAGAATGAACAAACTTTTTTCAAAACAAATCTGGATTGCTTATAATTGATTGTTTACTAGTCTGAATATAACCCTGACAGTAGCACTAACGATATCTCAAAACAACCAATGTGATGATATCTATGGCGGGTTTAATCTGAATATAACCCTGACAGTAGCACCTACGATATCTCCCAACAACAAATATGATGATATCCATGATGAGTTTAATCTGAATATAACCTTGACAGTAGCAGCTACGACATCTCCAACAACCAAAATGATGAAATCTATGGTGAGTTTAATCTGAAAAAACCCTGACAGTAGCACCTATCATATCTCCAACAAAAACCAATATGATGATATCTTTGGTGCGTTTCATCTGAATATAACTCTGACAGTAGCACCAACGATATCTCCAACAACCAATATGATGAAATCTATGGTGAGTTTAATATGAATATAACCCTGACAGTAGCACCTACGATATCTCCCAACAACCAATATGATGATATCTATGAGGAGTTTAATCTGAATATAGCCTTGACAGTAGCACCTACGATATCTCCAAACAACCAATATGATAATATCTATGAGGAGTTTAATCTGAATATAGCCTTGACAGTAGCACCTACGATATCTCCCAACAACCAATATGATGATATCTATGATGAGGTCAATCTGAATTTAACCGTGACAGTAGCACTTACGATATCTCCCAACAACCAATATGATGATATCTATGATGATTTTAATCTGAATATAACCTTCACAGTAGCACTTACGATATCCTCAATAACCAATATGATGATATCTATGATGAGTTTAATCTGAATATAACCCTGACAGTAGCACCTACGATATATCCCAACAACAAATATGATGATATCTATGATGAGTTTAATCTGAATATAACCTTGACAGTAGCACCTACGATATCTCCAACAACCAAAATGATGATATCTATGGTAAGTTCAATCTGAATATAACCCTGACAGTAGCACCTACGATATCTCCCAACAACAAATATGATGATATCCATGATGACTTCAATCTGAATATAACCTTGACAGTAGCACCTACGATATCTCCAACAACCAATATGATGAAATCTATGGTGAGTTTAATCTGAATATAACCCTGACAGTAGCACCTACAATATCTCCCAACAACCAATATGATGATATCTATGAGGAGTTTAATCTGAATATAGCCTTGACAGTAGCATCTACGATATCTCCCAACAACCAATATGATGATATCTATGAGGAGTTTAATCTGAATATAGCCTTGACAGTAGCACCTACGATATCTCCAAACAACCAATATGATAATATCTATGAGGAGTTTAATCTGAATATAGCCTTGACAGTAGCACCTACGATATCTCCCAACAACCAATATGATGATATCTATGATGAGGTCAATCTGAATTTAACCGTGACAGTAGCACTTACGATATCTCCCAACAACCAATATGATGATATCTATGATGATTTTAATCTGAATATAACCTTCACAGTAGCACTTACGATATCCTCAATAACCAATATGATGATATCTATGATGAGTTTAATCTGAATATAACCCTGACAGTAGCACCTACGATATATCCCAACAACAAATATGATGATATCTATGATGAGTTTAATCTGAATATAACCTTGACAGTAGCACCTACGATATCTCCAACAACCAAAATGATGATATCTATGGTAAGTTCAATCTGAATATAACCCTGACAGTAGCACCTACGATATCTCCCAACAACAAATATGATGATATCCATGATGACTTCAATCTGAATATAACCTTGACAGTAGCACCTACGATATCTCCAACAACCAATATGATGAAATCTATGGTGAGTTTAATCTGAATATAACCCTGACAGTAGCACCTACAATATCTCCCAACAACCAATATGATGATATCTATGAGGAGTTTAATCTGAATATAGCCTTGACAGTAGCATCTACGATATCTCCAACAACCAATATGGTGATATCTATGATGAGTTTAATCTGAATATAACCCTGACAGAAGCACCTACGATATCTCCCAACAGCAACCAATATGATGATATCTATGATGAGGTCAATCTAATTATTACCCTGACAGTAGCACCTACGATATCTCCCAACAACCAATACGATGATATCTATGATGATTTTAATCTGAATATAACCTTCACAGTAGCACCTACGATATCCTCAATAACCAATATGATGATATCTATGATGAGTTTAATCTGAATATAACCCTGACAGTAGCACCTACGATATCTCCCAACAACAAATATGATGATATCTATGATGAGTTTAATCTGAATATAACATTGACAGTAGCACCTACGATATCTCCAACAACCAATATAATGATATCTATGATGAGTTAAATCTGAATATAACCCTGACAGTAGCACTTACGATATCTCCCAATAACCAATATGATGATATCTATGATTATTTTAATTTGAATATAACCTTCACAGTAGCACCTACGATATCTCCAACAACCAATATGATGAAATCTATGATGAGTTTAATCTGAATATAACCTTGACAGTAGCACCTACGATATCTCCAACAACCAAAATGATGATATCTATGGTAAGTTCAATCTGAATATAACCCTGACAGTAGCACCTACGATATCTCCCAACAACAAATATGATGATATCCATGATGACTTCAATCTGAATATAACCTTGACAGTAGCACCTACGATATCTCCAACAACCAATATGATGAAATCTATGGTGAGTTTAATCTGAATATAACCCTGACAGTAGCACCTACAATATCTCCCAACAACCAATATGATGATATCTATGAGGAGTTTAATCTGAATATAGCCTTGACAGTAGCATCTACGATATCTCCAACAACCAATATGATGATATATATGATGAGTTAATCTGAATATAACATTGACAGTAGCACCTACGATATCTCCAACAACCAATATAATGATATCTATGATGAGTTAAATCTGAATATAACCCTGACAGTAGCACTTACGATATCTCCCAATAACCAATATGATGATATCTATGATTATTTTAATCTGAATATAACCTTGACAGTAGCATCTACGATATCTCCCAACAACAACCCATATGATGATATCTATGATGAGTTTAATCTGAATATAACCTTGACAGTAGCATCTACGATATCTCCCAACAACAACCCATATGATGATATCTATGATGAGTTTAATCTAAATATAACCCTGACAGTAGCACCTACGATATCTCCAAACAACCAATATGATGATAATATGATGAGGTCAATCTGAATATAACCCTGACAGTAGCACCTACGATATCTCCCAACAACAAATATGATGATATCTATGATGAGTTTAATCTGAATATAACCTTGACAGTAGCACCTACGATATCTCCAACAACCAAAATGATGATATCTATGGTAAGTTTAATCTGAATATAACCCTGACAGTAGCACCTATCATATCTCCAACAAAAACCAATATGATGATATCTATGAGGAGTTTAATCTGAATATAGCCTTGACAGTAGCATCTACGATATATCCCAACAACAAATATGATGATATCTATGATGAGTTTAATCTGAATATAACCTTGACAGTAGCACCTACGATATCTCCAACAACCAAAATGATGATATCTATGGTAAGTTCAATCTGAATATAACCCTGACAGTAGCACCTACGATATCTCCCAACAACAAATATGATGATATCCATGATGACTTCAATCTGAATATAACCTTGACAGTAGCACCTACGATATCTCCAACAACCAATATGATGAAATCTATGATGAGGTCAATCTGAATATAACACTGACTGTAGCACAAACGATATCTCCCAACAACAACAAATATGGTGATATCTATGATGAGGTCAATCTGAATATAACCCTGACAGTAGCACCTACGATATCTCCCAATAACCAATATGATGATATCTATGATGAGGTCAATCTGAATATAACCCTGACAGTGGCACCTACGATATCTCCCAACAACCAATATGATGATATCTATGATGAGTTTAATCTGAATATAACCCTGACAGTAGCACCCACAATATCCCCCAACAACCAATATGATGATATCTATGATGAGTTTAATCTGAATATAACCTTGACAGTAGCATCTACGATATCTCCCAACAACAACCCATATGATGATATCTATGATGAGTTTAATCTAAATATAAACCTGACAGTAGCACCTACGATATCTCCAAACAACCAATATGATGATAATATGATGAGGTCAATCTGAATATAACCCTGACAGTATCACCTACGATATCTCCCAACAACAAATATGATGATATCTATGATGAGTTTAATCTGAATATAACCTTGACAGTAGCACCTACGATATCTCCAACAACCAAAATGATGGTATCTATGGTAAGTTTAATCTGAATATAACCCTGACAGTAGCACCTGTCATATCTCCAACAAAAACCAATATGATGATATCTATGAGGAGTTTAATCTGAATATAGCCTTGACAGTAG